GCAGTCCAGGCAGGTGGCCGTCTCGAAGGACCCGTGGCACTGCAGCAGCCGGTCGGACGACATGCCCGCCACCCGCTCCAGGGACTGGAAAGGAAGGAAGTAAGGGAGGGAGGGAGGGAAGGAGGGAGGGAGGGCAAGATCGAGGATGAGATTGACGCGAACGGGTGTCGCGGAGGGACGCGTGAGGGGCCCCATGACACGAGAGGCAGAGGGAGCGAGGGAAAAGCGAGGCACGAAGGGCAGGCAGGGAGGGGGGAAAGGGCATACATCGATGTTCTGCGTGTAGCACCGCAACAACTTGGAACGGGCCTCCAGACGGGTGAGGAATCGGTGGGAGAGGGACGGTCGGTAATTTCCGGGCAGCAGTTCGCGGGCAAACTGGTAGAAAGGCACCGGGTTGGACTGGAAAAAAGCCATGTCGAACATGCTCTGTGGGTCCGGCAGGTTGTACTCGGCGAGGCGGGCGTAGATCCCTTTCTCGCTCCTAAAGTCCGGGATCCCGCACGCCACACTCAGGCCGGCCCCGGTCAGGACCAAGATACGTCGGGAACGGGCAATGAGTCCGACCACATCGTCCAGCGTGTTCACGTGCTGGAGTTTCTTCCGGTAGGAGAGGGCGTCCCGCAACACGAGGCGGCGTATCAGCGTCCATTGCGTCTCCTGAGACATGACGGAGAGTGGCATGCTCAGGGTCAGGCCGGCCTCGTCAAGCAGCGAGAGGAGGAGAAGGGAAGGGTCCAAGCCTCGAAGCCTCTGCATCAGGATCCAGTGATCTACTCCGTCCGTGCGCGGGGCTTGAGGACTGTTGAAGTGCGTTTGTTGTGACTTTCTTTCATCAGACACCTGGGCTTCCGTCTGCCGCGGCGAGGGCGACCGGGGCGGCTCCATTGCCGGGGTGGTCACTGGGGAAGGAGCAATGGGTACATCCCCACCGACGCCAGCTTGCTCTTCTAGCACGTTACTTGTCGACATTGCTGATACACTGCTTCCCATACTGACAGAAAGGTTGCTTTGCCGCCCGCTGGTCTCTGCTTGGATGGGCCGGTCCACCGTGCCTGTTTGTTCGCCATGCTCTTGTGCCACATCTTGCCACGTAGAACTCTCCCCCTCATCCGGGACCATCCCAATGGTCTGCAAGCTTTCGTTGCTGCGATAACTTTCCGTGCTTCTGGCGTCCGACCAAGGTTGAGGGGCAGGGAATGTTTGGGCGGAAGGGGCCTCGCCGTGACTCTTCGCGCAATTTTCGTTTTCGGCGCCCACAGCCACCCCCACCACCTCAGTAGTAAAGCCTGCGTCTTCATTACCCTGACGCGCCCATTTGGAAGGGCTTCCCCCATGTCCTGCGGATTCACCACCGCGTTTCCGCAGGGAAGAATCGAGGGGGTCGGCCATCGCCCCTGGAGCGGGTTGTACGGTGCATGTGAGTGAATATATGGAAATGGAGGGAGCGCGCTTTTCGCTTGGTCATGAGGCACGCCCGAGTTTCATGTGAAACAGACCCGCTACACACCCTGACCAAAATCCCACCGTTCACACGCACCACTGACGCGTCTAATTGCACTATCGACATGATCCGACACGCATGGGAAGCGTGGTCCGGACACGACCCCGGAAAAAGGGAGTGGGCAGGATGTGTCTATGTGGGGGCTCTCTCAAACATTCGGTGACATTAAATGCCCCGACGGTCGCTGTAGAGGCGGGGGGGCGGGGAGTGATTGCCTCCCTCCCCGGAACACCACATTGGGTACTAGAAGGTTGGATCCCTGCTTGTTTGGCTTGTGGACATGGTGTCTCTTACTCATTTTCCTCCGAAAACCGCACTCGTGGTTTTCGCAGGGTTATTTGCGCGTCCTATGGCTTAGTAGACATCCTTTCGCAACCTCCTGCCTAAGCCTGAAGTCATGAGGGGTTCCCTTCCACCTTCACCTTGTCCAGCTGTTGTACGCGATGTGGAGGACATCGTTGCAATGCCACTCGTGTCAGACACGCAACATTTTGGGAGCGTGGCCATCCTGGACAGCTGCACCGGGTGTACGACCTGCCGAGTCCTGGCGCCTGACATCTTCCTGGAGGCACGGCGGACCTCGCGTGACCCCACCATCTTCACAGAAGTGGCAGGCAGGCCGCTTCGGTCGATGGAAGAAGCGGAACAAGTGCGAGAGGCGGTCATGGCTTGCCCCGTGCATGCGGTCAAGTGGGTAAAGCGGCCCAAGGCCTTGAAAGCGCGACCGTTGACGGAAGTGTATCCGAAGCTCCTGGATGAAAACGTATACGTTGGAGGGCCCCCATCCAAGAAACTTTTCGGTGGAGCCTCGTACCTGATTGTGGGACAGGGCAATAAGCGGGGTAGGAACATATTGGTGGATACCCCCGACCCGGAGGAGGCCCTTGTGGACCGGGTGCGGGCCCTGGGAGGGTTGGACTACATTATTTTCACGCACATTGACCACGTAAGCCTCCATCGGGCCTGGAAAGAGGCATTTCCCAACGTCCAGCGGGTGATGCATGCCGACGATTTTAATGACGACACGCAGGACTTTGAAATCAAGCTGCAGGGCGGGAAGACCGCGCGGACTGCCGACGGAGGTATCCACGACGCGGCGCCGCCCTTAGTCTGTTCCTTGCCCGGGTGGGAGGACGAGCTGGAGCTGATCCATGGGCCGGGGCACACGCCGGGCTCCATCTACGTCCTTTACAAGGAGAAGTTCCTCTGCACGGGGGACTCCCTCCATTACTCGCGGGCGGTAGGCCACCTGGTCGGCTTCCGCCTTCAGTGCTGGGAGTCATGGTCCCGGCAGCAGACGTCTTGGCGCCGTCTGCTCCGTCACTCCAGTGCCTTTTCCTGGGTCTTACCCGGTCATGGAGAGCCCCACCGGTTCCCGACTCCAGGGGAGGCGCGCGAAAGCTTGGCCGCGGCCATCCAATGGGCCTTGGGCTTCCCCGACGGCCGGACCCCATCCAGGCGCTTTCGTCTGTGGGCGACGACGCGGGTGACCAGTCGACGGAAATGGCTGCGTTGGCTCGCGGACAATCTGGTCCTACCCCCAGGCTCCAGGCTGGCGATCCCATGTTACGCCGGGCCGGCGGGGGCTGTGTTAGAGGGGGGGGGAGGCCCAGGCTCGGGGCTAGGCGCGATGTTGCAGTCGCTGTGTAAGATAGATAGAGGCACAGGGGTTGCGCTTGGGCTTACTTCTTTTGTGTTGGGTGTGGTAGTGGGGGTTGGGTGGGCGGAAGGGGGGCGGAGAGGAGCGAGGCTCAATCGTGGTTAGCGATGGTGAGGGTGGTCTGGGTGAGAGCGAGGGCCGGGCGCCCAGGCATTATGCGTGGAGGGGCGCGAGGGGAGCGAGGTGTGCGAAGAGAAATGAAGGAGTGGTTGAAGGGTACGGCGCGGTGCTTCTTGGAAGACAGATCGGCAAGGGAAGGACTTGCCGAGAAAAAGTACGCAATGCGCGGATTGAGGGTAAAAAGGACGCGAACGCGTCGATCTCCTTCAGAGGGGTGGCCCGTTTCGTTCGCAACGTTAAGTCTTTGGACATCAATGTCACATTTTTTGGTTTATAAACTCAAGTCCTTTTGCTATCTGCGTCTGAATGCTTTACCGCCCCTTTATGACACCTTTTTCCTTTCGCACGCCTTCTCATCCCTCCTCTGCCCATGCCCGCATCCAAGGAACGCCATGACACCAAACAGCCCTCTGTAACCCCTCGTTGGTCGATACACAAGCCAAGCACAGCCCTCCACCGATACCTCGCCCTCCTCCCAATCTCTTCCCCTACGGGGTCCGTCGCCCACGCTCATCCTTCTCCACAGAACCACCGGCATGTCTCCTCCTCTCTGTTTCCGTGGCGCCTCAAGAGATAAGGCCCTTTCCGCAGCCCGTGCTGCCCGTCCCTCCCTGCCCATTTTCTCCCACGCCAGCTTGCACGCCCCCAACCCCAACTCTAATCTAATCTATCTTCAGCCCGGAATAAATCCTCCTCACGAACAAGGACCCGCCGATCACCCCCAAGGCCCCGCACAAAAGGAAGAGTCCCGCGCAGAAGACGAAGGTGTAGCCAAAGTAGAAGGCCGTCTGGAGAAGACCCGTCATTTGCGTCTTCACGGCGAAGTAGTAGATGGAGTAGAGGAAGACGTAGCCGGCCGTGGATCCGGAGGCCATGAAGGAGAGCCACTGCCAGTGGTAGTTCTCCACGTTCAAGAGGAAGTAGACCGCAACGATGGTAGTGCAGATGCTCACCACCATCAGGATCAGGTACACGAGGAGGAGGAAGTGATAGACGTAGTAAAACTTGTAGTTCCAAAAGCTAGTAAAAATAAAATACATCTCGATGAAGATGGAGCCGAAGGGGAGGATGCCGGTCACGGCCGCGATGAGGGCGGGGTGCGTGTACCAAGGACCGAGGGGAATGGGCCGCGCCATGCTGTTGATGCGGCAAGGAAAGTCGGCTTTCCCAGCCCAGTGCCGGCCGAAAAGGGTGCCCACCACGGTCAGGGGGAGCGAGACGAAGAGCCAGATAGCAAAGATCTGGGGGGAGGGGAGGAGGGAAGTGTCGGGGTCAGCAACAGCAGGTTCTTAAAGAGGTGGAGAGGTAAGGAGGAATGGGACGGGAAAGGAGGATAGGAGGCAGGCAGGAGAGAGCAAGCGGGGGGAAGCTCGTCCCAGAGGCACCGGGGACACCATGTCCTCCCGCGCTCTCCTCGCCCCCTTTCCCAGCGTGGCACCAGGCACTCACCTTGAAAATGGTGGAGAGGTGCAGGGCGTGCGTGGTGTCGTAGTACTCGGCGATGATGTTCAGGCCAAAGACGACCGTGAGCACGAGGACGGGAAAGAGGAAAACGGTCAAGAGCATGGTCTTCTGCCATTGGGAGGACTGCTCCGACCGCGGAGTTGGGAAGAACTGCCGGTAGTACGACCCGGACGTGTAGCCCGCCACCAGGCAGGTCAAGGCGTAGGCGACGATGACGGAGGTGACCAGCTCGCCCCGCTCCTCGTACACGTCCCCGTGCAATGGGCCCGCGATGGCCCACCCGACCACGACCAAGACCAGGGCCAGGAACTGGCAGCCGATGCCGTAGAGGGCCGAGAAGAACATCAGGTGCAAGGGCGCGCGGAAGACGTCTCCATGGACCTGTTTCCAGCCGGATTCTTCGCTGATCCCATGCTCGGATCCCGTCGCGTGGCCCCCCAAGTCCTCCTTGGCGTAGCGCGCAAAGTCGTTCCGGAGAGTTCTGAACAGAATGAGGCTGACCAGGCCGCAGAGGAAGACGACCATCATCGTGGAATTGAAGATGGAGAGCCAGTGGATCTGGTGTCCGAAGAAATCAACGTCCAAGTAACGGTCGAAACGGTTGGCGAAGGCCGTCGTGCTTGGGATCCAGGTCACCTCGTACGTGAAATCCAGATTGGCACCCTCCTCGATCCGGACCAGGTTCTCGCTCGTCATGTTCACTTCGATAACGTTGGGCCCGTTGTACCCCAAGCTCAGCTTCCGGTGCGTGTAGATGGACTGGGCGCCGGTCTCGTCCGCCTCTCCGACCATGCCCCAGATCGGAAGGTCGTCCAGGTAGAGCTGGTACCAGTACCGGTTGTCCACAGCCGAGGCAAAGGTCTTGGCGTCCTCTGCGCTCAATTTCATCGAGCAGACCTTGGTCTTTGCCACATCCTTCGTAAAGGACAGGAGGTACCCGCTGTTCATCAGTTCATGTCCCTCCAGCTGCTCGCCGAGCGAGTTGCTCCTCCGCCGTGTCTCCACCCCTTCCACCGGTTTGCAGAATGGCAAATCGTAGTATTCGTATGTCTCGTGCGGGTTGTGGTACGGACCCACTTTGTTCACCCACAGCGTGACCTCGTCACCTTCGGCGTACTTATGGTTGCGTTCCCCGGCCTCTGCTACCCGGTGCACCAGGCCCGCGCTAACGAGCAAGGCGAATGCGACGACCCTCCTGCACGCGGCCATCATAACAACAGGACAACAAAGATTTCAGCTGACAGGCTCTATGACGTGTGTGCGCAAAAGAAAGAAAGGAGTTGAGTGAGGGACGATGAAGGGAGAGAAACGGTCTGTTCCCCAGCTTGACATGCGAATAGGACGGAAGGAAAAAAGAGCTGCCACAAACGACCAAATCGTGCAATAAAGGGCGAAAAAGCTTTGTCGAATTGCGCTGAGCATGTGAAGCACAACAGCTTCAGTATGGAAGTTGCATGTATTTCATCTACCCTCCTCCTGATGGCCCCAGGCTGAGTTAAGTCATTAAGAACCGCTGAAAAGTAGAACTCCGCAAAGGCACTTCCCGTAAAAAAATACATGAAAGCATGTTGCATGGTCCAAGTCTCGACAAAAAGAGATCCGGAGGAATGGCCATGCGATGTTGAGGATCATGGGTGCGTCGAGCATGTCATGGCGGGCCCACTGGGTTTAAACCCTCTTCCACGACTAGCGCGAGCCACGACGCCATTCGGACCCAAAATCACTCACGAAGACACTCATTCACACCCATTTCAAACCACGACGACTTTCAAATACGTGAGACGGTCGTTGCCGGTGCACAATGCCCGGACACGGGCGCGCTGAACAGCGGGCGCGGGGGACATGGAAAGAAACGCAGAAAGCGGCGTAACGGTTGAGGGTCTGCCGGGCCGGTCACCCCCAGGCGCGCAAAAGAGCGTGCAAGCGAGGCATGAGAATGGCGTGCAATGGAGTCAGGACAGGGAAGGGCACGTGCGTGACCGTTTTCATCGGGTGGTGTGCGCAGCATGGCCTTTTGGCTCCCCTTTCGATGTTGTATGAAGCATATCATCCAATACACAGGACCGCCGCCTTGGCCAGAGACCGGGGGCGAGAACCTCGACCTCCCCCACCGTCTTCCAAGCTGCCTCGATTCTACCCTCACTGCCCTGCTCTCTGTAGCTTACCCGTACGTTAGGGATACCATGGAATTTTTTGGCTTTGGAAAGAAAGTTGAACCCATGGAAGAGGCCAAAAAGGTGCGTTTCGAGATGCATGAAGGCCGGGGTGCCTGCAGCTTGTCTGACACGGGGTTGCATTTCCGGAAGATGCGATCCATATTTTCCCCAAGCGCTGTGTGGCTTACATACATTGCCCACTTCTGCACGCAATTCTGGGACACAACGCACTTTCACCCACCACCAACATCCCCCTATCTCGTCGACCCCCCTTCAACCCAGTTGAAGCGCAGCATCGGCCGAGAGATACGATCGGTAGATCGAACGCTGATCCATATCGAACGGGAGGAGAGGAAAATTGTTAAAGAAATTCAAAAACTTGCCAAGCAGGGGGAGACTCGGCGCGGCGCATTGACCATTTTGGCCAAGGATTTGGTTCGCTCACGGAAAACGCGCGAGAAGATGGTGGGTGGGAAAGCCATGCTCGCCTCGGTACAAATGCAGATTCAGATGCAAATGTCTACCATCAAGGTGGCGGGCTGCATGCAGAAATCGGCTGATGTATTGAAGACCTTGAACGCCTTGGTAAAGATCCCTGAATTGAGTAAAGTGTGCCAGGAGATGGCGCGGGAGATGGAGAGAGCGGGCTTGGTGGAGGAAATGGTAGGAGACGCCATGGATAGCGTGGATGTCACGGATGAGGACGAGGTGGACATGGAGGTGCAAAAGGTGCTGGAAGAGCTTGCCTTCAATATGATGAGCGACGCGCCAGTCGAGCCCATGAAGGCCGTGCAGGAGGCGGGGGAGGCGGTAGGAGAGGAAGCTGGGATGGATGAAGAGAGGGAGGAAATGGAGCTTAAGAAAATGAAGGAACGCTTGAATGCGCTGTAAAATTTGTGTAACAGTAAGCTGGAGTCAAAGGGAAAGTAGGACTACATTTACAGTTCACAACGGTGGGAAAATAGACGAAAATTCTAGAACGTTCTTAGACTTGCATCGTTGATGCTGCATTGGACAGAAAACTTCTTTGCCTGCACGTTTCCGTACTCGCTTCCTGTCACCATGCCTGGCAGACCTCGATACGTCCTCTACTCCATGCATACAGGCATGCCCTGCTTCCTCTTGTGAGCTTCCCTCTCACACGCAGTGCACCCATCCCCTTCCATCTCTTTCTAGATTCATGACCTCTCCCTCTCTCTCCTTGCGTCTTTCTTCCCAAGCATGTCAGGCCTACCATATTTACAATTCCACTCTTTATTGTGCCACCACGTTTCTGCCTCTCTTTCTCGAGTCATTCCACCTCTCAGGCCGCAAAGGTC